CAGCTGTGTTCCTGAGGTGGGATCTCTGTACCCGCCACAGGCACTTCACCGGAGCACCAAGAACTCTCCAAGATCTGTGCCAGGGGCTGAGCTTTGATGCTCGCCAGCTTCCTGGGTGTCCTTGGGTGTAACCCATTAGGGCCGGCTGACTTGAAGGTATCCAGCCTGTCGAGGTGTTCCTTCACGAGGTCATCTTCGATGGAGGGCAAGGAATCTCCCTTGCCCGGGCCTCCCTGACCCATAGTGGGCAGAACCTTCCAATGGGGCTGACGAAAAACTGATGCAAAGTACCCATTTAACAAGTTCGCTTTTTCCTCGGTGTCAGTTGTCTGTTGCCCCATCTGGTTTAGCAGGGGTCCAACGTTGCCCTTGCTTTTCCTCTGGCTCCCCTCATATCTAAAAAAGGACTTTTTATTATCCTTGATATTTGTAGCTAGTTGGAGTTCCATCTCAGCCTTGGCTTTCCTGGTTTGCTCTCTGCAAGTCCAGACTAAAGCAGAGTATTCCTCCTTGGTGGTGGTTCCAGTCCTCCATCCTTTATAGGTCTTCCTTTTAAGACGTAGGAGGTCTGCCTGGAGAGCCAAGGGCGCTGCTGTACCCTTTTGCTGCCTTTCCTCTGAGATGGGATGGACTTTGCTTCTGGATCCAGGATTGCTCCCTATTCTTCTTAGAGTCCTGCTATCCTTTGGTAGAGACTCTGAGAAGCCCTCAGTTTCACAGTCACTTCTAACCTGTGCAGTCCAAGTATTAGGCCCCTGACACACTTTACACTTAAGATGTGTTAATCACATCTTAAAGCCATATGCTAATGCAATTAATAGTGTGATAAAACAAGGAATAAATCACAAAGTTATTACACAAAAAAATGTGTAATAACTGTGGTCATTTTTTATCATGTCATTAATTAACTGTGTGGCCAGGCTGGGGCTCCCAGCCATGGAGGGAGAGAAAGGGGAATGGCACCCTGTGCTCCCATGACTTGGAGCCCCATCAGCTGATCCAGGATTGCAGCTGCAGTTGCACCCTCATGGCCGATAGCCTGATCAGCTGATGGGGCTCCCAGCCACAGGAGTTTGTTACTTGCTGGTGCAAGGGGAGCCTGGGACCCTGCACTTGCAATAAGGCATAATGTACATGGCAGCAAGCATGACTGTGAGGATTGCACATCAGATCCCGTTGTGACTTTACTTAGTCAGTTTTCCTTCACTGTCTCTCTACCTCCTGCTTGAGGGAGTGTGTCCATTTAAACCTAATCAGGGTTTTGCTTTTGTGTATTCACAAGTTTGGATTCTCTGCCCCTAAATGCCCCCTAGAAAACTACGATGGTGACCTCATTAAGGGCTTAGAAGTAGAACACCAAACAAATGGATCTTGCATTGTCTGTGAGGCGTTGGTGGTTGAGTGGCTGTCTTAAGCCACTGTTTCTCTTTCTGTTTCTTTTTTTCTAACAGCCTGCTATTAAAACTAGACAAATGTATTCATATAGTAAATATTAGGTGTGTACTGATAAACTTTTTCTTGGCTGAAACCAATAGCCAATTATTCACCAGGAATATTGGCCAATACTGATCTGATAACTGACTTACAGGAAAGCAGCTGGGCAGCATGGAGAGTAGTATCCTGCTGGTAAGTCTGTGTAGAGGAAGGAGCATGGAGTGGGGGCCGACTGAGACCCCCACAGTGAGGGAGGGTGTGGGACAGGGGCAGGGCAGTGAATGGCACACTGGGGGAGTGGGATGGAGCTGTGGGTGGCTAGTGCACAGTGGGCTTGGGGTCCTTCACCCTGCTGCCTTTGCCCTGGGAGCTGCTGCCTGTCTAGCAGCAGTGGCAGCAGCAAGCTGTGTCTCCAGCTGCTGGATGGGCAGGGGATGAGCATGGCCAGTGTACAGCTCCTGAGGCAGAGGCAGCAGGGCGGAGAACCATGAGTGCACAGTAGGCAGCCTGCCTCCGACCTTACCCCACTCAGCTCTGCTCCAGTTAAAAGTGACCTGGCACTTAAAAATGGTGGCAGCAGCGCTTGAACTAAAGCTCATTAAATGAGCTTTAGTTCAAGTGCCTCCACTGACATTTTTAAGCGCCAGGATGCTGATCCCATAGACAAGCATCCCATGGCTCCATCCTGCTCCTCCAGGGTCCCATTCAACTGCTCGCCCAGGGTCCCATGGGGGCCTTGATCTGCCCCCTGCCTCCAATTCACCTTCTCCTCCCCAGACCTACCTGCAGGGTGCTGCTCTCCATAGTGCCCAGCTGCATTCCTGGCTGGTGCATGCATGCAGCTGTGTGCATGTACGCGGTGTCTGGGGGCCTCAGCCAGAAGGCATATTATAGTTTTTGGTACATTATCAGCTACACCAGTTAAAAGAAGCTAAAAGGCGATAACATTAATTTTCCTTTTATTAGTGCTGATCCGATATGGCACCAATATATTGGTACACCTCTAGTAAATATCCCAATAACCACATCCCCTACAGTATTTATAAGTTATTACAGAGCAGTCTTACATCTGCCATATGAAGTGCAGGCAATTCTTTGTCATCTGATGCTCTGAAGCCTAGTATGAGCAGATATACACATTAAGGAAAGTAGACTAAATATTTTTACTCTTTCCAATACAGTTTTAATCTGTGTGCAGTTAAGTAACAGGCACCTATATATGTGCTGGAAGTCTGCTGTGATGTGTGCTAATTAGCATGCTCCAGCATCCTCCACATCATGAGTATTCAGCATCTCTGTGCTTCAAAATGGCGGCAGGGTGCTTTAACAAAATCTCATCCAACGAGCTTTAGTTAAGGTGCCCCTGCTTCCATTTTGAAGCGCAAGATACTAAATACATGTGACTCTGTGGGAGCGTTAGAGTGACTCTCAGAGCTGCTCTAATTAACCCCCCACCACCCCAGAGCACGTGTAAAGATGCCCCTTGATTGAATCAATGGACAGGTGGTAAATGAAGAAAGCTTAACATTCTCAACTCACCTGGAGCTGAACAACGATATTTTCATGTCAGGCATTTTCTTGTATAAAAAGCACTCTTAGCTTTGTATCTAACTAAAAAGTAAAAAAATGAGGCTGCATGGGGAACAGAACAGGATATAGGAATTACTATGACAAAAGGGATGAAATTGCTATTTTTTTTTCCGGACACCGCTGATGATACTTTGAAGCACTTTCAGGATATGTGTATAGAAAATGTGATTTGGGTTTAGCTCTACAATTTGTCTTATAAGGTGGACAGTGAAGGTTAAATTATCAAAACGATTTTTTTGATAGGCATCCACATTTCTTAAAACACATTGGGGCTATTCTCTGCTTTTAGTGTTATAAAGCAGGAACAACCTCTACAGTGCTGTAAAGCAGGAACAACCACAACAGCATCAAATGAATTGCCACAGTTTTGTGCCAGTTCAGCTGCAAGCCGCATTTATACCCACAGCAAACTCATTATAGCTCTTGAGACAGATCCCGAGTGTCATAGCTCCACTAATTCCAATGACAGTATGACAACTCATAGTTTCACAGAAACCAGTGAAATAATGCCATTTCACAACCTCAGGGGAGCCGCCCCATTCTTCATATAAAAGTTTAATAGTATACACAGACAGACGCGCAGCTGCATCTACATGTTAACAGAGGCTGGAGTGCAGTCTGTTTAACAACTTCAACCTGAACAGAAGGAAAAGAATGGAAAACTACCAAATAGCACAATGGTGCTGCTCATGCTTTCTTTTTACCTTGCTTTTTGCCTTTTTACCATGCTTTCTTTATCCAGTTACAACATGTACAGCTGCACTTGCTGCTGATTCTTGTCATCAACAAGAAGAAATTTTCTGGATGGCTATTGAGTGCATATTGTTTGCTACTGCAAAACTTCCTTGGCAAAAGAATTTCTCCACCAACCTCAAAAGTGAGAATGAAACACTCCACAAATATTTAGAAATTCTATTATCAAGGGACCCTGTACTTTCAGGATGCTGTTTCTACAAATGAAATAAAATAATAAACTCTCTGCATGAAAATCAGAGCAGTGCAGCATATTTAGCTAGCAATAAAACTTGCTGAAAATCCTTCCTAAAGCAACAAACAGCTACATTATAAAGAGCCCTGGGCAGCACAAAAGCACTGGTAATAAAACAAATTATATAATGTAAATATGAGGCATAAATAAAAAGGCCAACTATTTTACCCATCCCAACACTGTAGAACATTTGAATATGACCACATATTATCTTTGATCTTTTAAGGAGTGCTAGCATAAGGCAACTTATAGGGACAGACAGCAATATACAAAATGGATGTCATGTTTTTGATGTTAAAATAGAACCTTTCGAGTTACCTTCCTGCCAGCTATGTATCCACCAGCTGCTCCAAAGCTTTTGGTGAATGTACCCATCAATACATCAACATCATCAGGATCCATTCCAAAATATTCCACAACTCCTCGGCCCGTCTGTCCCACAGCACCGATGCTGTGAGCTTCATCCAAGTAGAGGTAGGCTTTGTACTTTTTCTTCAAGGCAACTACTTCTGGCAAGCGCACAATGGAACCTTCCATGCTAGGGAATGAAAGAATTGCTAATGAATAATGCCCAGGTGCCCTAATATGCTGCTCCCTTTAAATATATGATGGAGTGCAAGGTGCGTGCAATATAGCCTGCTTAAAGCTCAAAAGAAATATGAAGTCAAATATACACGCTGGCTGCTACCCAGACAAGTATATAATAATACATTCCAAAAAGCAATTCATAAATCTTTGCAACTCTGGGCCATATTTTGGTACCTGCTTTTGGTACCTAAGCACCTCTCTGGCAACATTCTCAGGTAATAAGTCCTGGGAGAATCAGCTCTGAGTTGAAGGAGAAGCATAGGGCGAGCAAAGATAAGAGCTCAGGACAGGAACACTTTTTTTCTGCTCTTCAGAAGAGCCCCAAGCTAGTTCTCAGGTAGCTGCCATATCTTAGAACAGCCCTGGCCCTTGGAGCTGGTAGAACCTGGGAGGTATAAATGCAACTTCCACCATTGCTTGTCCTATCTGCTCCTACTTTGTGCCTTTCTGGAGATGTGTCAGATAATATATGACAGGAAAGGATCCTATTATGTGTGTTATGTCCCTCCCACCAATAACTGAAGGAAATTAAATAGTCTGTGTTCATACATTAGTGGCACATGAAGAGGACCAAAATAACACTTGTGGTAGCTACATCAATAGGTTAGGTGGACTTGAAGATTTACACTGTAAGATGAACCCTGAGGAGACAAGTAAGAAATCCATTTTAATCTGAGGAACATAAATTATCTGTATAACTGCAGTAAACACTCTTGATGTCTTGAAAACCTGCGTGAGATGACTGAGGAAGCTTGTCACCAGCTATCTTCACATGTACTCAGTTATCAGCAAAGTGAATTAACTTTGGGCTCTTAAACTAGCTGGACTGGGTGGGGTGGGAGGGAGGAGGGTAAAGTGCTAATGCAGTGGAGGCCAACCTTTTTGGCAGGCATTTGGCTGCCTCTTCTCCCAGTGCTGTTCTAATTCCCTTCCCCTGTGTGATCTGCTGCTCCGCTTTCTGTTTTCTCCCCTGTGCTCCCTCACTGATTTGCTGCTTTGCCTCCTGCTCCCTGCCCTACCTGCCGCTGTGTTGCCTGTCCCCTCCCTGATCTGCTGCATGCTACGCATAGAGACTGCCTATGCCACTTGTGACATCCATGCTACAGGTTAGCCACTTTTTGCTTGATATGTATTTCCGAGGTATTCTGAGGGTAGGTCCCTGGCTTAGATGTGCCAAAGTAAATACTCTAAGACAGTTCCCTGAAAAAGTTTGTCCCCAGATCAAATATGCAAATAAGTATGTGCTGCCAGCACAGCTTTGCCATGTTATTTATTTTGATATAAAACTATTTTCTGTTGCTTCTATGGAATTTTTCCACTGACATCATGACATTGCATTAAGTAAGTGAGGAGGCAGAAACTGGGAGTGTGACAGAGAGGTAAAGCAGCAGGCAGGCTTTTAGAAAAATCATCAAAAGTTTCCCAATTCCCATCTTTCTCATGATCAGAACTGGCATCCTGGGAAGGCTTTAAGGAAATCTCAACAATACTTGATATGCCCACTGCTCCCCTATTAATATCAGAGAGCACAATAAATTCAATGGATATACTACTTTACGGGGATGTTTTAGCTAAAATGACCATAAGTGTACTCATTAGTATTTTCACATTTAAATTGACATCATCAAATTTATTAGCCCATGTAGAAAAATGGGGGGCAGCTTACATGTCTGTCCAAGTTATTGTTTTGGCTTGTTTGGAGACAACACTGCACACAGGATGTTCATCCTCAGAGCTTTATGGATTACAATCTTAAATTAATAATAGAAAATTTAGCTTCTACTGTATAAATCAGCATGAAATTATACCCAGATCCTTCTACTAGTGGCCACAAAGTTTTAAATTCTAAGAGAATGTAATGAGGATAGTGTAGTCACTTCATGTAGACCCTTTCTAGGGCGGCCATCATAAAGAGTATTCCCATTTTCTGCTACTCTGTCCTCTGCTGATACAAAAGCTGAAGCCTTTATGTCCTTTGTTTTTCTTTTCAAGAAGAAATACAGAGGACATAAAGGGATCCGGTTTTGTATCAATAGAGGACAGAGGACAACTGGCCTGTCCTCTATGATGGCCACCCTAACCCTTTCACACCCGGAACAGAGGACAGAACCACCAGAAGAGTAAAAGGCCCATTGATCTCAGAAGGACTCACAGCATGGGAGGGATCCACAGAATGGATACAATACTGAAGCCTCCGTGAAAGCTTTTCTATGTTGTCTGGCTAACACGCTTCAGTCCTCTAGGGACTAGAGGTCAGTTCATATCCTATGCTGACTCCTTCCTTGGCCTCTCTGCTGACTTTCAGTGACTGGGGAAGAGGGTCTGTGATGCAGACAACTGTTCGGTTAGAACTGGACTGAGACCAAATTCACTTTGTCTCGGAGCCTCAGAGAAGCCCAAAAGGAAGGCGAAATTCTCTGGTAAGCATTGATTGAGATTAAATTTAAACCAGGGATCTTGCGAAGAAACTAAATGTATATATCTCATGTTGGTACTGTTGTTCTTGCATAACTGCTTGCCTCTTTTGTAGCTCTGGAGGTTTATAAGAAGTGGTCTGACGAAGTCTGAACATTTTTTGTGGGAAGGGATCAGTTTATAAACCATGACCTTTATCCTCTGGCCTCAGAGGTAGGACAGAGTTCCACTGCCCAAAGTAGAATTATAGACATATATGCTTGGGAAATCATGTATCTAATCCTCTGCTCAAGGCAGGATCACCTCTGTCTAAACCATCTCGGAGAAATGGGGAACATGAGGAGAATTCTGGGGAGTAACTGGGCCTTGGGGAGCCAAATCCTGCCTTGAGGAGCAGAGCATACACGTGGCCTGTGCAGACCAGCCTGTAGATGATATAGGCCTGGTCCTCCCGTTGTAGTGTGATGGGATGGGGTGAGTGAACCCACAGTCCTGCTTCCTCCTTCTTCCCTTTGCACTGTGTGCTTCAGGGGAAATCAAAGACTATAACAGCAGAAGCCCTCAGATAGGCTGCACAAAGGCTGTGGCAATAATTTTGTGCGCCATTCATCCACGGCTGGGTGCTTGCCATAATCAGGCCCCCAAAATAAAATATGCTATTAAAAGATGAGGGCCTGTCATCTACATGAGTGAAACAGGAAACAGGCTTTGTCACAGAGCTATGTTACTTCTGCATTATTGCGTCCAGGCCAACTGAGTTCAGCTCTGCTCTAGCTGAGATCTGCACTGTTCTTTCACCTTATAATTTCTGAAGTGGTTTTTCTCATATGGTATCCTCTCGCTCTTCTTCAGAGTCCCATCACAGAGTGAAGCTGTGGCACAAAACTGACCTATTTACAACATTGAACCTATTACAACAGTTCAAAACCTGTTCTGTTTATGCTTGGGATAACTTTTCCTTTACAATACAAGGTGCTAATCCCATTACTGACAATGTTATCTACTCTGCAATGTTATTGAAGTGTTAACCAGGTTATGTAGTCACGGAGCTGTAAAATGTCCCCTGACAAGGTATGGTACAAGGATGTACTGACTACAGAGTTTTGGGCCTAATCCAAATCCTCTCAAGGTCCACGGATTCTTCCCTTAAACCCTTATGGTTTTTGATCAGCACTTTGGAAAGGAAAGACATGTTCCCATGGGTTACCTAGTCCTCCTCACCATCTTTGCTGGCTTATTCTTTAGAGGCTGCTGAGTTTAAAAATAAATATCTCAGGGAGCTGGCCTTCTAACCATATAATCAAGTAGAATAGGGGTGGGCAATTATTTTGGGCGGAGGGCCACTTACTGAGTTTTGGCAAGCCGTTGAGGGCCACACGACAGGCAACCGGGGCAGATAAATATTAATTTTCTGAACTTTTTAGGGGCCCCACGGGCTGGACAGAATGGCCTGGTGGGCCGCATCCGGCCTGAGGGCTGCATTTTGCCCACCCCTGAAGTAGAATGAGGCATTTTCCACAGCATCATTCATAACAGAATGACTGATTTTAATATTTAGCCCACCATTTTCTCTTTCATAATTACATAATACAACTCTGATAGATAAAAAAATCTATTACCAGTCCTCTACTCTTTGAGAACTTATCCTATGCTCTTCAAACTGCAAATAAATCTTTCCTTATAAGCAAAACCCTTTGGCCCCATTCCTGATCTGATCTTTCACAAGATGCATACTTTATATTCATGTCAATCTCTTACTTCCAAAATATACACAATAAATCTTAGTCTTTGCTTTTAACATTATTTTCTTTGGTAAACTTTGCACATGGTGGTGTTTAGGAGACTTGACACAACCGTCTCTATTTTGTGGTTTACAGCAATAGTTTAAAAAGTCAAATGAAATACCATACGTTGAACCGTTAGGAAACAGCCACTGATTGATTAACCCTTTTTGCTGGTCTGTGGCCAGACACTTAAAACATTGCCTGTTTTCCAATCCCTCGGTCCAATCACATAATAGCAGGAAATAAAAAAATTGTCCCAATAGATTGCCTAGGGTACTGGCACTGAATCCCCCAAAATTTCAAGTATACGTGCAAATGCCCTGGATGGAATCCAAATGTTCAGAGAGCCACCCGCTGGCTTGTATGGAAACATGCTCAAAATCAAATTAAAATGAAAATAGAAAAAAAAATAGGAAAAAATAATCTTTTTGAGCACTCCATGTTGCCCTTTAACTATTGCCCTGGACTTTGGCTCGTCTAACAGGAAAGCAAGTGTTACAAGGAAGCATGCATGTACCAGAAACTGATTGAGAAAGCAGTAACTGGTTGATCTGAACTGAAAATGGTAGATGCCAAGGAAAACATTAGCTAGAATTTAAATAATAGAGATCTGATTTAGCAAGTCAGTTTAATTTGCACCATGGACGCTGCCAAAACTTGGTCATGCTTTTTGTACTGGGGACTGAAAGTCATGTGGTCTTTCTGTATTTGGAACGAATGTGGAATCCATTTACTCTCAGGCTAATACAAGTTAAAAGCCAGCTTTCACTAATAGTTACATTTATCTTTGCTGCATTTTCCTTTTTCAGATGTTAAATACATGCATACATATATAAATGGACACTTTCCTCACTGTTTAATTGACATGTAGCTTGGATCCTTCACAAGTTTAGGGGCAAATTTCTGCTTGCACTTAGGCAGGCTTTGGTTTGGAAACACCCGCCTGAGTTTTTTTAACTTCCATGTTGGCTAGTAATAGTTCTTTTCAAGTTCTGCCAGATGGTAAGCTTGGGTTCATGCACAATGTAGTGAAGGAGAACTCTTTAACATACCCATACCATAGCCCAAGGGATTGCTTGAATGAAACCGAAAGAAGAATTTGGCTTTTAACATCAGTCTCACCACGAGAAGACCATGGTGTCATATGTAACAATGTTAAAACAATAATGGAAAGTTTTAAGTTTCTCCTGAATCCATGGAAAAAGTATCTGTGGAAGAAGTTGCCAAACCAAACTTGCAAATCAAGATGCTTTATTTTGACCAAATAATTTCAGTTCTATATACTAGTCATCTTGAAGATCCATTTCTTTAGAAACCCATTAAAAAAGACATTATATGACCTTAGCAAAAAGGATCTGGTAATATTTCTCCTCTTCTTCTACACTATGGATACATGTGAATGTACCACTGGCAAAACTTGAAAAGAACTAATGCTAGCCAGCATGGGTGCTGGAAAATCGTATTGCAAAAACCATATCTCAAGAAAGGAAAGAATCAGGATGAGAGGAAACAGCTCAAGCAAAGTGTAAAAGGAGGCAATTCTAGTATGTCTTTCCTTACCTTTTCTTTGCATTTAAAATGTTGTTAGCTGTATGCTTGTTTGGTTTGTTTGATTTGCTAATCTGTGCAAGCAACAATGACTATGCAGTGCTTCAAGGACAGGTAGATATTGAGTATAGCCAGTAATGCAATAATAAAATACAGTGGCAGTATAATGAGAGTTTTCCTTCAGCCCACGATAGAACTGATTTGCAATCTGAAGTAGGAGCTTTGAGTTCTGATTTGCTCACATCATTCGAATGCATAAAGCTGATTTAAAAACTAGTTAATGTGTGTACCAGCTTCTTTTAAGGTAGTAAAAAGGAGTTAAGTTTTTGTATTAGTTTCTTATTTTATGGCTTTCACTTGAATGGAAATAATCAATTTTGAGGTGCTAGGATGAGATTGAACTTTTTAATGCAATTGGAGTGAGGCACCCTTCTTTTTTGACTGCCTGCTTCAAGAAAGATATCTAGCGGAGAACAACAAAAATGATTAGAACATGGAAAGCATGGCTTCTGAGGAAAGGCTGAAAGAGCTTGAACTCTTTAGTCTGGAGAAAAGAAAACTGAGGGGAATTTGATGATAGCCTTCAAATACCTGAAGGGCAATTATAAAGAAGATGGAGGTAACCTTTTTTCTGTGGCTGTAGGGAACAGGACTAGGAGCAGTAGCTTCAAACTGCATCAAAGGAAATTTAGATTGGAAATAAGGAGAAACTTTCTGACTATGAGAGTGGTCAAGCATTGGAAAAGGCTACCCAGAGAAGTTGTGGAATCATTATCCCTGGAAATTTTCAAGAGCAGATTTGACAGATACTTGCCTGGGATGATCCTGCCTTGAGCAGGGAGCTGCACTAGATGACCACATGAGGTCCCTTCAGCCCTATGATCCTATTATCCAATGAATTCATATTGCAAGTGCATGGCTGTTGGGTGTTTAATTCCTTTAGTTTGTGGATTTTCTATTTTAAGTGACAGACTTTGATATCTTTCACATTATGCTAATGTTAGACTGATGTAGCTATGATGATCCAGGAATAATGCAGAAGCAAAGAATTTTTGGGTGATATCGTTTACTGGACCAACTGTGTAACTGGGATAGAGTTAGACAAGCCTTTGAATGCAAGACAAGACATTCTTCAGGTCTTGTATTTGAAAGCTTTTCTAACTCTATCCCAACTATACAGTTGATCCAATAAAAGATATCACCCCAAAAAATCCCTGCCCCTTGCATAATTCCCTAAGGTACACTGACAATCCTCATCTAAAATACTAGGACCTTACAAATTAAAATTTTACATGATGTCATTTGCTAAGCAATGAGAAAGATGGCTCTTCTGCTATTGTCCACTTGAAAAATTCTCCTGGAAAAACAACAGGAGATTTAATGAAATTTAAGCTCAGTGTCTTGTAAATGCAAAATTGATTAAGTTGCAAATGCCAAAACAAACTGACATGAGTTTGTGCAACTGTTATGCCTAACCAGCATGTCTGTGTCTCAGATTTGCTGTCACTTTCCACTATTGTCGACATATGAAACACAGGATTTAAAACTGACTAAATCACAGCAGCTGCAGGTTTTTTTTGTAGGCCATGTGACTGAACGGAGTATTTGTCAGTAAAATGTTGGTGGTCCCCTTAATTTCTGCATGATCAAAAGTCCTTAGAACTTTGCTTTCCTTTAGTTGGGCCAAGCTATGTTTATTTGCAGTTTTGGTCTGTTTATTCTGGCTGAAAGGAGATGTTCAGCCTGCTTTGGATCAGCTGATCTGCTGCTAAACTGTTTCAGTCCTGAATGACAGGTGTTTAGATAAGGGCTCATTTGTTCTCTGCAGCAGCTGCCACGATACACCAAAAGAGAAAATGCTGATGACCAGGAAGTTATGACAATACACGAACAGTAAAGGCATCATAATGAAAAAGGTAGCTAGCAGGACTTATTAAATATCATAATTTATCGCACTGCTGCCCAAAGTTGGTGCATCTCAGTGATGGGTAAATTGATCTGTATTGTGTAGTGCTTAATGCTGACTTGCAAACCATTTTGGCATCCTGCAGGATGAGGAATGCTGTATAATACAATGCCACATAACTACAAGGTATCATTAACAGATAATCCTAGACAAACTCCTGAAATTACCTTTATTATGCACTGTCTGCTTATATGTGAGCACTAGAACAACTGCTGATAATTCCTTTAATGTCAGTTTATACCCAAGCCCAGATGCCACTCCACTGGACAGTGACACCAAGTGGAGATGGGTTGGTTTCACCAAGGCTGACTTCTCTCTGTGTGTTTGCATTCTGCTTTCTGCCTATAAAGCTGGCATGCAGAATTCATACAATAGCAAGGCCAATATCTTCTTTTGATGTAGCAGTCTAGAGAGCTGGTCTCTTTAATCACTCTGCAGAAGATCCTCAGCTAGTATAAACTGTCATAGCTCTATTGACTTTAGCGGAGCTATGATAATTTGCACCAGCTGAAGATTTGCCCTTTGTATTTATATGTCAATCCCCTTTTCCTCAGAGAAATGAGGAGTACAAACCAATATTCAAAACTACATGTAGGGGACCAGACTGGAGTTGCTTCACTTACACCAAGGCTCAGACTGACCTATGCATTTTTTATATAAAGCGTCAAAAGCTGAAACTGTTATTATCTGATTCCCCTGAATAATAAACACCAACAACTTTAGCAAGGCCACTTAAGATCCTACTATGACATGAGGCAATGAAAAAAACCCCTCTGTATTTCAAAGTCAACCCCAGTTCCTGTTTAATTACGTAGGCCTACTAAATTACAATGGAGTGTTCATTTCTAAAATGTCTACAGACCTGTAAATGCCCTCTACAAGGATAAGGATTTTTCTCCAGGCTCTGTGGCTTTGAGGCTGCCCATATACTACTGCATCCCTCAGGAGCTTCTCGAGGCTCTGCATATCTTTATTTAAAAAGAAAAGAAAGGAAAGAAGCATTAAACAAAAGGATTTTTAAAAGCAATCATTTACTTTTTCCCTGGCCACTATTTTTTTTCATAAGAAATTGTTAACATTTATGACATGCCTCCTGATTGTAAACTTTCTTTTTAAAAAATCACAGCCTCGATAATAGATTTAAGTTGCCTGAATTTTGAACTCAGAGATGCTACAAGAGTTTTTTGCAATAGTGCATCTTATCTGAGGGAAAAAACCTTTTCTTCAAGCATTAGAAACTAGTTGTATCTGTATTTAAAAGTAAAATGGATACACTTTGGGTACCTGCTGATTTTGTATTGCCTATAATTAACTGGATTGCTGAAATTCACAGCTTCTGGAGGCTTTTGCCTGGTGTGCTTCGCAGAAGATTTTCAGAAGAGCATAGGGCATTTAAAAACGAGAATTCCTCTGAAAGCCCGTGAGACATGTCTACTTTCCCAAGTGCTCTTGAGAATTTCCCCCCATGAGGGCAGCTGGCACCCTGGCTGGCTGGATATTCACTGACTTACTCTGTCTCAGAATCTGAGTCTATGTTCTCTGCTTACCGCACAGAAACAGGAAGGACAAGAAAGAATACAATTTATATGCATTCTGCTTCTGCCACCAGCACCTTCCCTTTTCAAGTACAGAATTGTAAGACACAAAAGTTACCATCATGGCAATACACTTGTCCTAAAAAAGTTAAGATTTGAAACCTACGGAACCTAAAGTTAAGATCTGAAACAGATGATAGTAAAGATAAATGTATGAAGAAGTGTTCAGTTGTAACTGTTCCAGGCCATGTTTAACCAAGGTGTTAAAATTAAATATTTCACTAGTAACCAAACAGAAAAAACAAAAGGGCCTTTTGTTATGATCAACATACACAAAAGCCAGAGAACTTTACATTTTTCTTGAAATCAGAGGTGAGGCTTGTTAAGCCTACTTGAGTTAAGTGGCTTTGGGTCAGTTCCCAGCATCATCAGTTGCTCATGAATAACATGTGTTTCATCAGCAAACTCTTGAATTTTAACCTATGAAGCACAGCACAGTGACATGAAGAGGAATCTTGTCATTTTCAAGAAAGAAAGGGTATGTGAGTAAGTGAGTGCAAGAGAGAGAAATACACAAACTGGGGTACACTTTTTGAGTCAAAAGACAATGTTTTGATGAGGTTTAATGTAAAGAAGCCTTGAGCAGTGTTAGCAACATTGCTGCCTTCTCAGGGGTTGGTTATGGATAATGATGCTAATGAGATAACTTTAATAAAAGTGGAATGGCACTGAAGTACAGAAGAAAAAGAAAACGGAAGCATTAAGGCTGTTGCCCAATTTGGCTTTTAATAGAGATTTGGCTGAAATCTGATCAATGTTCTGATATTCAGACTTGAATGAAACTTCTCAGAGGCAAATGCTTCTTGTACATTGCAGGGATCTGAAAACACACATTCCAGAATGCCTTGAAACAGCACCTGACATGGCATTTTGCTTTGTCCATTTTGCTTTCTCAGCTGCTGCCAGAAGCTGCAACAAGTTGATATAGAAGGGAAGGGCCAAATTCCACCCCCCACCCCTAGTGCAGTGGGGTCTCTGTAATTGTTGTTGCTTTATGTGGGGTGCAGCTACACCTTTGCTGCTATCCCTACCCTATACTGTGGGTAGATATAAGTCCAAATTTCTGGGGCAGATCCCTTCCATATTTGGGAGAGGGAATAGATTTCAAAGCATGAAACTGCACCTGGTCTGAATTTTATAGGTTGCCCTTATCTCTCATGACTAGTTGATCCAAATACTTCTGAATGTGAGGTGTTTGAAATGCAAAGCCAGATCTGAAAGCCACAGGACACATCCTCATGTTTATCTTGGATGTTTACCATGAATTCTGGAATGTGCCAGGCCCCACGGCACTATTGTAATTTTAACTGCTTTAGAATTCAGTGACTATCACAATAAAAGCAGTGGATGGCAGTAGTGTACTACTGGAGACTGTCGGGCAGTAGACTAGAGATCTCTGACTGGGCAAGTATTTGTATACAGCCAAGAAAAAACTAAAACATGAATCACTGTGCTTGGGAGAGTACCTTAGGTCAATTGCTAGAAGCTGGCAATGAGAGCCTTCTAAAGCTGTTGGCAATGTTTTTGCATTATTCTATCCTAGAGCTTAAGCAATTATTGTAACATTCAGCCATCTGATTCTAATCCATAAAATACAATCCTCCCACTTGATGCGCCTCAGTCTAGAAGAGGGGTGTCAAAGATCCAGCCTGAGGGCCAGATTCAGCCTGTGGAACTATCATTTGTTCCCAGTGCTGTGCATGGTTTTTGAGTGGACCCACAGGCAGCATGTGAGGTGTGCTGGATGGCCCCAAGTGTCACATGCAGGACCTGCTCTGTGACCACACTGTACACAGTGCCCATTCCAGCATGAACAACTGGTGCCTCTTGCCACTGGGGGGCACCATGGCAGGCAGCATTGAGCAGGGACCACCTGCAATCACTGTCCACACTGTTGGCAGTGGCGAGCGGGGACCACCTGCAGCAGCCGGCAGCCACATCGACGGCAAGGCGGGGTGGGGGGTGGGGATATGGCAACTGCCCGCAGAAGCTGGCGGCAGCTTTGGCACCAGCCAATCTCGGGGGGGGGGAGGGGCACGTGCCCCCACTATGTGTTGGCTATGCATTCCAGTGTGCATCCGCTCCATGCTGGATCCAGTGCTGGGTCCATGCACCACCTGCAGTGTGGCCCTAGAGTGGCTGGAGTGGGCACTGTGTTGGCATGGTCCTGCACCAGCCACTCTGGGACATGTACTGTTGTGCCTGCTCCAGGACATGCGTGAGCCTGGAGTGGATGCATGCTGGAGTGAGCACTGTGTGTAGTGTGGTGCCAGAGCAGCCAGAGTGGAAGCTGCAGGTAGTGCTGTTTTAGAGCAGCTGTTCCAGGACCATGCAGCATGTGGTGTCCACTCCAGTTGCTCTGGGGCTGTGCCCCAGGCAGTGTATGCTCTGACCACTCTGGGATGTGTGCTGGATCTGGCGTGGAGTGGTTACGCACTGGAGCCAGTGCTAGGTGCAGAGCTGTCGTAGAATGGCTGGTTCTGGACATGTACTGCATCTGGTGTGTGGGGCTTGCCTGTGGGGTCACTTACGTGGCTTGTAGGAATAGAGAAGTTTGACACCCCTGGTCTAGACCAACATTATGCAAGCACCTACTCTGGACACGCTCAAGATGCATTTGGATGATTATCTTGCTGGGGTCATCTGACCCCAGCTGACTTTCCGCCCTTTGGGTAGGGGGCTGGACCAGATGATCTCACGAGGTCCCTTTCAGTCCTAATATCTACCAAATCGATGGAAATCTTTCAAACTATGCAGAACAAATGAGCAGTCTGTCTACATCTTGTATTTTTCAACTCCCATTAAACATATCACTCAGTGTCCCTTAGTGAAAAGTGAACTCCTTCCTCGTGAACTCCTGTTACGTACATGCAAACATGATCTGTTCAGGTAAAAATGGTTTCTCATAAGGGAAAAGGAATGACAGGATGTTCAAGAGGACTTGGGGGTACCATGCTGACATAGAAAGCCTCATTGTTTGTTTGCACACCCCCATCTGTCTGTTTCTTTGCTTCCACCTGTTGTCTCTTTTCTTATACTTCCATTCAAAGTTCTTTGGGGTCAGATCGTATCATTTTGTATTTGTAGAGCACCTATCACAAAAAGGTCCTGGTCCATAACTAGGGTCTTGTTTATTCAGATAAATAGATTTCTGATGGTTGCTGTACCATTAGAAACTTACAGACACTACTAGAGATCTCAGTGGGTTGCCTCAAGATAATCAACAATGGTATTTGCTGCCCTGTATATGGAGGTGAGCTATTTTACCAGGCACTTTAACAGAAAGAGCAAGAGGTCCATGAAACAAATTGACTCAATGTTGGTACAGGAAAAGAGGAGGAAAAAAAGATTACTCAGTACCCAAGCTTTCTCGTTTGTGAGCCTTGAGGAAAGGAGCTGCTTTAATAATTGTCACTTTCCTTTTACCAGAAACGATTAGACAAGGCAGGACTACAAATTTATACTCCAGGAGGTTGGTGTCACTATGGTTACTAAGAAGCTGTCCTATTATTCCTCATCTCATTTGTATAGGCCACGTATGGCCTGGGGCACCTGCACATACAAACACATCTACTGCCACAGCTATTAAGGGAAGAGACCTGCCCTCTTCCCTCATGCAGTTGTGTGTGTTCCACTATACACTGTCTGTCCACTGACTTACCCTAACTACAGCACTGAACAACACATTTTAGGTCAGGAAGAAGTATAACTCTTGATCAGATTGGCATAGGCTGTTTAGGTTTTTTGTTTCTTCTGGAGCATGGGGCATAGTCCTTTTCCTAGGACCTTCTGAAGATATTTTGACAAATAAGGTTCCTGTTATTTCAGTGGCAGGATACTAGGGATATATTTTCCTCCTTTGCTCCTAATCTGTGGCATATTATAAGGTATTACTGATATTTCAGATATTGGCCCTTGTAGCTGTGGCCGGGAGTGGCAATTTTGGTGATTCTGTTGTTTAACAAGTGCCTGTGAGCCCAGGGGACTTTACTTGGTGGTTCAGTGTAAAACTGATAGTCCTATTTTCCTATATACTATTGTGTCTCCAACATGACCAACCCCTGCTCCTCTACTTTGCAGCACAGCAAATTTCTATGGTACCTTGCTCTGTGGCACAGTGGAATTGTGAAGAATAGAATGTCCTCTGAATTGCATTCGAATGCAGCAAAATTGTCATTTTTACTTTTTTAGGTCTTGAGTACTGTCACAGATTCAAGTCATAGAAATGGCCACGATGACCTTTGGTGGTTGTATGACTCCTGCCTGGCTCTGTCTCTACGGTTGCCCTCCCTTAATTGCTTGTCTGCCATGCCTTGTTGTTATCGAGGTTAAGTAAGGGATGCTGCCAGCAGGCCTTAGAGAGAGAGCCTGAG